TAAATAAAAAGGTTTTACTAAATTTTATTTATGCATATAATAATTAATGTATAGTATCATAAGATTAAATTAATTCAGATTTTTAAAACATTCTACTTCTATGACATGAATTTTATTATTACTAATAGCACATGACTGCACAATATTGTATAATTTTATTTCTTTAAATACCATCAATAATATTTCATTGTTGTAGAAATGAAAATTATTTCTTCTATAAAATATAATTGGAATAAACGTTTAGCTAAAGAACAATATCAAACAATATAATCATTTTTTATATCTAATTAGTGCATAAACAAGCGATTTAAGAAATCGTTCTGTATACAACTAACTGAGAATTATATTTATTTGCCTTTGGAAACAATAAGAAGGACAAATTAACTTAGATAATATTGCAAAATTTGGAGAATAATAATTTGTTTAATTACTATTAAAAATGTCTTTTAAATTATTTGTTTGTTTCCGCTATGCATGATATATTGTAGCTGACGGACAACCGTGCGTTTTCACAGGTAATAATGATAAAGTCATTGCAGAATTCTACGGGAATTCTACTTTCGATTATAAAAACTAGATACATTACGATATAAATCAGCAGATTATATAACTAGATGTCAAGGACGCCCCCGAACTCTTGACTTGCGCACGGACGTCAATCATCTTGTACTCAAGCTCATTCTAAAAGCAAGCGCAGTACTATTATGATCTAAAAATAATTAAAATTAATTTCATTGAACGCTATATGGTATAATTATTTATTTATTTTTTATAGTTATTCTTTCACAATTATTAGGGTAACCAACCTCATTTTTTCGCCAAATGTCTGCAATAGTTCAAATTATTTTAATCGCACAACGCTTTTATCTGTTGTGTACATTTTTTTTTACTGTATGTGTTTAACCAATGTTCTTTTTTATAACTTATCCATTTTTTTATAATTGTTTTTTTTTGTGTGAAATTTTTATCCATCCTCTTCTTACTCTTCTTACTGTTATCGCAGTGATGTGAGGAAATCTAGACAAATTGTACAAAATTATTGACTCTTTCATTAGCTATCTAGTATGTAAATAGTTAAATTTATTTTTCATTGCAACATGAATAATATATTCCATTTTCCATCTGTTAAGATAAATCTACCTTGTAATTAGTAAGCATTTAAATGTTTTGTTTAATCTTTATTAAACGGTAGTTTCCATGTAATATCTCTTATGATACGGTTAGGTAGTACAATTTCAACATAATTGTGCTGTCAAAGCTTGCATTTAGCGACTCCTATTAGGTTGAGTATAGTAAGATCTTCTAGTATTCCACGAATTTTTAAAATATAAGATAGTATTTTTGCCTTTACACTTTTTCAATGTAATAATATCATATATTATCATTCATATTATTATATGTATATATTTATTCATTTAAGTTTAAAAAAATAGGAATATTTATCGAAAGATAATTTCTGATATTATCTGAATCAAGAAATTCAATTAAAATGAATTAATTTTCAGTTATTTCCAATATTTATTGAAATTAATATGTAGTAAAGATATTTATTTATTCTATCACAATGATTATATTTCGAAAAAATATAGAACTCTTATTGATTATTTTTCTATTATTATTTTCTAATTAAATTTCTTTTGTATTAGAGTACGTTTGACAATTGGTTAATAATTAATATATAAATTTTTGTGCAACAATTGAAATTGTGAAAATAAAGTGTAATATATTTATGATTTATCAAATATTTTTGATCGAAGAATTAATCGGCTTACCGAAGCATAAGATTAAAACAAAATTAATAAAAATTAAAGTATAATAAAGTTCAAATAAAGTATAAATGGTATTATTATTTCAAAACTATTCGTTTTAAATATTTAAAAATATTTAAAAAGAAATATTTAATTTTTTGGAAATTTAATAATTCTTTGAAAAGTGTCATCTATTTCTGCACATATTGATGGTATTAACGGTTAAATATTCCATTTAAATTAGTGCGAAACTGAGAATTATTACTATATATTCACTATTTAATCACTATTTCATTATAATTATTAATTTACATACTCAATTAAATACATTAGAACTAAGCTAGAATTTGTACTTGAAAATTTCTTTATTTGTTAATACGCATTATTTATGATTCTATTATATATATAATAGTATGCGAGTATATACTTTCTACATATTTTGCGCTACATTCTCAATCGTAAATATAGTTTTCTTAAGATTTTTCGTATGTTAATTTTTTTCATTAATTCAAGGTAAAATCGCAAATAATCACAAAGTTATTGTTGTAGGAAATATATAAATTAGTTTATCTAACACGTGACTAATTAAGATTTATATTCTTATCGTTTAATGTTCATGTAGTTAATATTTAATTAATGTATGCTCATAAATGAAAAGATATCGTAATATGCATTATGTATTAAAAATAAATGATTTTTTATAAGTTCATTTTTTAAATAAAAAGTTAATTGTATATTATTTATTGTAATGAATTAAGTACTAATTTAATTTAAAATTAGTCACAAAATTTTCTGTTTTTATTATAAATATTTGGTCTATTTCAGAAAATTATAAATAAATCTATACCGACACAGAAACTTTACAAATTGCTCCTATTATATTTTTGCTTAAAAAAACTTGATACAACTCGTAGGAAGGAAATAAAATGAGAGAAATATTTTTATATTTTTATTTAATAACTCCATCAACTCAATTTTACAAATTTCTATATTTACAAATTGTTTATAAATTTATCCGTTTTTAAAAAGAATTTTTGATTGTTTTATAATCATTTTTAGAAAAATTGGACCTCAAAGTGTTTTATTAAATGAATTCTAATTAGTGTAAAAAGAAAAAATTAAGTTTTTATAAAGGCATCTATTAATCGGATGTGACATAATAACATAAAGAATGAATATACAGCTATAACAATGAAATGATTGATTTCATGTTGCTATGTTTACTTTTATTAACAATACATAAAAACTATTATAAATTCTTAAATTAACGAACACCTGTACACGATTAGTATATATAAATATATATATATATATATATATATATATATTACTTCCACTAATAAATTATATTACTAAATGCAATAAATACTTTGTCACTGGAATATTTTACTTATTTTCTTAATTCCCGGCGTTTTTTAATGTGTTAGGTTTTATTTTAAATCTTTAATATATTTGTGTTAAGTACAATTTTTAACAATTTTATTTCTAAAATTTTATATTAATGTTACTTAAATTCAGTCTAATTTTAGTAAGTGTGTTTATAACAGAAAATAATTATATTAAAACAAGTTTCAAGTTTCAATTTCTTTTTATTCATTACATTTTATAAGTTACTATCTGAAGTGATATTAAATTTAAATTTTTTCATAGAAATTATTTAAAATATAAATATAAATATTTAAAGTATAAATAAACGAAATACTATGAAATATTTCAAATTTAAGTTGTATATTTTTATCGATAAAACAGTTATTAGTTATACCAGCAGTAGATATAATACAAACGGGATGGTAATATTTAAATTACATTTATATTATAAATTTGTTTAAATGTTATTATTCTATTTAATATGCAATATTTAATCTTTATTCAATTTTCATAATTAAATTTTCTTAATTATACTAATTATAAAATTCATGTAAAAAAAATAGTATAATTAGATATAACGATTATAAATTTAATGTTCTATTTAAAAAATTTTCAATAATAAATGAAAATAAATTAACGTATTACACAAAACTTGTTTTACTATTATATGAAATAGTTTATTATATAATTATAAATATATCAATGGAATATGATTAATTGGAATAAAATTGTTAAAAACCGATGAACGATTTTATTTTACAATTTTGAGAATTTTGTTTTTAAATTCGTTATTGAAAGCATTTTCTAAACATCTCCATGATTGTTTGAAAATTTCTCATGTACAATCAGTTATTGTGAAGTTTTTTTAAAAATGAGTATGGTTAAATGCATACGCACATATCTCTGTATTGCATGCATATATGCATAATATCTATATGAACACACGAATGATCCTACGTACGTATGCATGTATGCATGTGTGTATGCATTTTCAATAGACATTATTACCGTGGAAAGTGTATGATTATACGACAATTTTGTAATAAATTAATATTGTACTATACTCATATTATATTAGTCAGCTTTTATTGTATTTGTTTTTTATCACTTATAGGTTTTTTTTTATAATACATTCATAAGAAAAACTTGTTAATATTAACATTTATATTACACGAATTTCATGTCTTAATGATTCATTAAACTGCCTTTGTACATTGGCAACTCTTTTTACCCCAATAATATAATTAAACTTGTATTTTTCAGAATTGAAGCACAGCATCGACTTTTTGGTTATTCGAGTTTCCCGCGTGCTTGATCTCGCGAGTGAAAGGTTAAATCACAAGTGTATCGTGAAGCACCGGCGCTACACAAAGAAAAATTAGTACCTAACATACATAAGGGACAATTCCCGATAAGGAAGACAGAATCTGCACCGACGAAAACTCTGTCAAGGTGACAGAACACATGTGTGTACTAAGTCGGTCGAGTCATGATTAGCGAATGAACGAACGGATCTTACAAACCGACATAATATAAACGAAATTTGTTGAAACTTCTTTAAAAAAAAAACGATAAATTTGCATTGTACGTGTTAAGAAGATACGGTAAATAGAGTGACGGAGGAGGGTACACAGGTAGACAGACGGGTGGACTGAAAAAGGGAGGGAACGAGAGAAAGAGAGGATAGTAGTTGCGTGCGCCTCTTCGCCCATACCCACCACCCACAAGCTCTAATTCGATAAGCTTCCGGAAGCCGCGTCGTTGGTCTTCTGCGTCCGTAGCAAAGCTTCAGTCAGAGTTGGAACAGAGTTGAGAGACTCCTTAGAGCACGACAAAAGCACAAGAATGTCGGCACGATCACGTCTCCTTCTACGCGGCGGCGGGGGCCAAATGTTTGGCCGCTCTTGCACCGCTGGCGGTGGCGGCACCGGCGGCGGTGGCAGTGTTGTTAGTGCGTCATCGTCGGTGGCGCGCTGTAGTCTGTTGATGACGGACTCTTCCAGTAGTATAAGCCGCATCATTGGCATGTCTGGTGCCAGGGAGAAGACGACTTACCAGCAAGTCCTTACCGAGGACAATGTCTTCGAGAATCTCGTCAAGATGGAGTACGCCGTGCGCGGACCGCTGCTCCTACGTGCCATCGAACTTGAAAAGGAGCTGCTAAAGGTTCGCTTCACGACTATCCGCTTTTGAGCGGCTCACCGGGTGTGTGTACTTGAGGAGCCAGGTCATTTCATGAGGCTGGAATTTCGGTTTGATACTTCTTGCTCGTGCGTGTCGTATTTGAGCGCCTCTAGGCCCAAGGTCGGCTTTTTTGCCTCTACCGCGAAACTTTGAGCCATGGAGGTGTGCAGGCACCTTTTTGCATGTTTTATTAACTTTCTTACTCTATTTACACACCTTTTGTCTTTTATGATCGATTGATCGAATTATTGATGAATCTAGCTTTAAGGTATATTCCCGTGTATAAAACTTACAGGCATCTGATGTTTTATTCTACGTAGACATTTGTGCTTTTGATAATTGTACGGCGCTGTTTTAATAATTAGAGTTAGTATATTTGTGTACATATTTTCATGTATATATATATATATATATATATATATATATATGCCAATGTAAAATAGCCGCGTAGTGTTTGCTCTCCTTTATGGAGAAATACCTTGAGATAAGTTTTTATGTTATTTTTTTTATTAATAATACGGAACCGGTTAGGTTAGATCTTTCTACAAAAAAATGTGTTAAGTTCTTTGCTTTCTTATCGTTATTTGCGAATTATAAGTATTATACTGGCACGAAGAAAAATATTTATGAATTCATTGATCGAAACTATGATAGAATAATGAGAGAAATAACTAACGAATAAATATTTCTATCTTGGCAAAAAATATTTCTTTAACCGGTAATGATAAATTTAGTTTACTTTGTATTTCTTAAAATATAGCATTTGCCGGTTGGTTTCGATACTTAGGTTTTTAAAATAATAAAAATGATTCGATTTATTGTAAAAATAACAACACACAATAACAAAATAATACATTTTAAAATGGTGCTCGTACTTAAAAGGGAAATAGTATGCATCTCGGTATTAAAAAAATGTTGCAAAGTATTTGTTCGGGTAGCACTCAATAAAGATTTTAAATATCGTGAGGTTTTGATTAATGCCTATTTCCCGCGAAAATGGTAAAGTAAACTTTATTTCAGTTCTGTTCAGTATGGTTCAACATAACCTATTTATAGAAGAGTATTTCCGCATATATTGACACAAAATACAATATTTCAGATAGAATTTCGGTTACATGCGTTAATTGATGTGCTCTAACTGATATTACTTTTTAAATAAAGGCAGCCTCGTTATCAAAGCAATTAAACTTATCTTTGTTTATGTTGAAACATAAAATATCAATTATTATTAATAATTTATATATTTGTACACAAAATAAAATCTCATTTTATTCTACATTATTATTTTATTATATTCGTTTTAAGATATTACTAATATTCATTATTAATATTATATTTAATTATTCATAATATAAACTTGATTATGAAAGTGAATTAGTGCATATTTTTTTTCTTTAAAAATAAATTGTAATGAAAAGTATAAAATATAAAACGATAACTATTCCAAATATAATATCTCTAACACACCAGAATAACTGGCTCATAGAATTTAACTTAGAGAACCAAATTTAGAGCATCGCATTTAAACAAATTTGCCACTCTTAACACATAATCAAAAGCTATTTATTATGATAATGGAAATTTTCAATAAATTCAAATTTTAATATATTAAAGTTTTACTAATCTATATTTCTATTGATAAAATAGTTTCAGAATAATATATAATAGCAATTGTCAATAGTAATTAAATAAGACAATATGTTTTCGAAATATAAATTTTAATTATCGCGTTAAATCGCAGAATAATTATTATCTTCATATTTATTAAGATAATTAACTTAGCTTTTATTGTAGTGAGACGATACACTTTATAAAGTCATAAATTAAAATAAAAAACAATCATCTGAAGTTTTATTTATTTTTTACTATATATATATATATATATATATATATATATGTATATATACGTGTGTGTGTCTATTATTTTATTTTAATTTAAAGGAAAACATTATTAACATAGCATTAACATTATTTTCATGCTTAAACATCTTCTTATTACAAAACTGCTAGATAAAAAAAAAGATAGATATATGAAAATTAGATTTTAATTAGATTTTACAATACTTTATAATTAAAAAGAAAATTCATTCAAATAACTGGCTTGTTATTCCTGTCTTCAGTTTTCTTAGTACGAATATATAGTAACAAGTCAAAAAATGGAATTGAAACTTAACACGATTAAATGTAAAATAAAAAAAAGTAATATATTTTCATAATTATCTTCGTCATCATGATTTATATAATATTTACTACTATGCAGGTTAAAATATATATTTTATCTTTTATATTAAACGTTCGAGAATGAGATAGAAATCTAATTTTCTACGTGTATGTACCCATTTTTTTATGAATATGTTATCCACTAACGATATTGTAATAAATATAAGTATTAGCAACTCTTTTAATTTAATTAATAGCTTCAGATTAATTGAATACCTAATTTTATGAAAGTGTACTTGTATTTAAATTCCCATTCGATTTATGTTTCCACTTAATTATCTAATTTGTAATACCATCCTGCAGCAAATTCAATACTATTAGCTTTGTTCATACCAGATCATATTCTTCGTCTAACTAATCGCGATAATAATATTAAATATAAAATCTAAAAAAAAAATAATATTAATAGTATAAAAACTGTAGTAATACGTTAATATTGAACGGTTTTATTAGCTATTTTATTAAATAAAATATTCCTTAAATTATTAGTAAATTATTATTGATCAACTAAAGAATTCTATATAAATAACAATTATAAAATGGTAACAATTTCAAGCAGATCCAAAGAATCTAAAATCAAGTATATTAATTTAAAATTAGCAAATGAAGTTGATTAAATTATCATCCTTAAACAGAATCTTAAGATTAATTTAATAAAACTGTCTATAAATATATATATATGTGGTTTTATATCTGCATAAAGAAAATATTTTCAATATATGTTCAGTTATTTATAGTTTAAAGATTTACTGGTTACGAGAAGATTCTTAGCATTCCATTATTATCTTTCGAGAACCTTTCACATTACGTGTCCATAATTCATTTAAACGAGAGGTTGTTGTCAATATATTTACTAAAATGTCTATTTTAGCGAGAGCTGAGTGCATTATGTTCGTTATATGATTGTACTATAATTTTACTCTTAAACTAATTTTTTTAAATAAACGATAGATAAATTTATTTAAAATTATTTATATTGAATATTTTTAAAGTACCAAGGTCTACTTACGAAGTAAAAATAAAAATGTCTTAATTAATTTAATGATTCATTTAAATTTAATATTTTACTTTAATGTTTATAAATTTTAAATTTTAATAAATTGGATAAAATCAGTAAAGTTTGTAAAATATCTCTTTTTTACGATACAAAAATAGAGTTTTATAACTACAACGAGTAACTCGATTATCTATAATAACGTGACATTTTTAAACGGAAGTTTTCATTATTTTATAATAAATGTAAAGCATTCTAGAGAAATTTTAAATGGATATGTAGTAATATTAGCTTTAGAGACAAGGTCGGTATTTTATTGCGCACGTAAATTTCCGTACGTAGTGTTTGCTTTGTAATTGAAAGACAAAAAATTTTCCGTACTTGATAATTAGTAGACATAGATAATTTTCTGTTCCGGGAATCAATAATTTTCTAATACTTAGTATATTACAAAAAAGTAAAAAGTAAATAAAAGTTTTATATATATATATATATATATATATATAAATACACACAAATAATAGCAATCATTACAAAAATCATACAATTTTTTTTTTGGATAATACTTTACGGTATCTTAAATATACTTCTAGTATGGCAAAAGTAGAAACATAACTATAGTTTCTGCGAAGTAAAAATAAAGTGTAATTTTTGAAATTTTCTTTTACATATATTTAAAGTTGTCTTTCAAATGAATTTGGCATATAGTTCACATAAATGAAAGTATTTTGACATATCTTTGAACATAATTTACTTGACAAATTCACTTGAAAAAACATAAAAACTTAATTACTTATTTTATATTTTACAACTAAGCAATTAATTACTAAAACGATTAAAAAATACAAAAGGAATAAATTATAAATTTAAAAAATTTGTTGTCCGTTTATAATTTTTTAATTGATATTTTAACAATATTCGTATGTTTTAATAGAGCTTGAAAGAGAAATAAATACTTTAGAATTGCTTTGGTTTATTATTGTTAATATAGTTTTAAAAATGGATAATTTATGTATTGAATCTTTATTAGATGTTCATTTTTAACTAATTGTTTCACATAAATTATAATAATAAATTTCACTTAATTAATTCTTATGGTCTAATTACTTCTTATTGTACTCTGATTTGTTCCATAATCTTGTCAGTTATTTCATTATTGTATTGCCAATTGCTTTACAAACTTTTATTTAATTACATATACAATTTTTGAATAATTAAAAATATTATCTTAAATATTATGTGGAAAATATATTGTAGATCATTTTTATTTTAAATAAATAAAACTAGGTGTAAAGTCAGTTTACAAAAATTACACAAGTTCATATTATAATACAGATGACAGAAGTTCTAATTTTTTAAATAAAAAAGGTCATTTATAAAAATTCTATACGTAATATAATGACTGAATGTAAAATAATACGGTTTAAAATTTAAAATTAATTTTTTATTTTTGTTTATTTAGTTATATAATATTACAGTACATTGTATATATATTGGTAAGTTCATAATATTATATAATACTATAGAATATTTTACATATTTGTATGTTTTTAATGTTATAAAATTGTTTGTTGATAATATCGAAGCTTCTAAACGAATACGTTTATTATAATATATAATAATTTAATAAAACCATATGAAATATGAAAATGTAGAGCAGCATGTTAGAAATCAATTTTTGGCATAATGTGATAAATGTTTTTTAATTTTCCAATTTAGTTTTTATTCTTATGTAATTTTTTTTCATAAAAGACAAATTACTAATTCTTAATTCGTATGAATACATAACAATAATATGAGATCACTGAGAAACAAAAATGATATGATCAGAAAGAGTAGGTTTTTTTTTCTAAAATTAATGCATAGAATATTATAATTAACTATCCAAAAGGCAGGTATTGAAATTTATGAAATTCACAGTAGAATTTACTTTATTTAAAAAGATTAATAATACTTTGAAAAGTTTCCTTCAATACAAGTATTTCTTTAAATAAATGATTTAATTATTTCAAATTATAAAATTTTATTTCTTACGTAACTAAATAAACAAATAATGCACTTACTTTCAATTTTAATTAAAAAAAAGTAATTATAAGTAATACTGACAAATAATACGCAGAAAAATATTTAATCCTCAATTATATATAACCGTTTGTAATTTAATCTTGAGTATTCTTGTTTCTTTGTGACTAAAGTAATCTTGCATTGAGAATGTAATGAAATGAATTATACTGTATATATATATATATATATATATTCAGTTATATTAGAATTATAATTATTAACTTAAATTATGTATATTTAAGTTTTCTTTAACGTATATTTGTTTATTTTTAACTTTGAAAACTATCCTGCAGCATTATAATTTCTATATTTAATAACGGCAAAGCCAATTTTAAATATTAATCAGTACAAAAAAAATTAGTTACGTACAAAATACGTAGGCAGTATTTTGGTATGATAAAAATTGCAATTCACGAATCTTATCTTACAAAGCCACAGGATTAAAAATCCTGAAAAATTGAGTCAATAATTTGGGAGAAAATCCTTTAGAATTTGATTTCCGTTTAATACTAAAACAATTACTAATATGGTTGAAACGATAGCCCGGTAAGCCACACAACTTTGGCGCTTCCAAGCGGATAAGCAATGAAAACATAGGATTTCAGCACTTGTCGAATCGCCACTAAAGCGTAATCAAATACACACCCTAGTCTCACGCGTTCTCAGTTTACGCTTTTATTTTTATCATCTCGTTATCGTACCCCCAGGGAGCCAAGAAACCGTTCAAGGAAGTCATCAAGGCGAACGTTGGAGATGCTCATGCTATGGGACAGAAGCCCGTCACTTTCCTTAGACAGGTGTTGGCCATCGCACTCTATCCTAAGCTGCTTGACGATCCCAAGTAAATAAAATACTTTCTTACAGGGAGGCTGGGGTGCATGTAATTGTCAACTTCCGTAATTTATTTCTTTCGTCGGACGTGTGCAAGTTTTCGCAATTGCGCATATTTGGAATGCGTTTTTAAAGGAAAAATGGCTTCAAAGTGGAGTTATGCCAATACCCGATAATTCATTAAAAAAATCACGAATGTAAAGATATATGTGGATTATTTCGTTTTTATGTAAAAATTAATTTAAATGATCCTTCATCGGAGATTATATTATATTCTTCCTGTACATAGGAAGTTCTGATAAAGTATTAAAAAATAATGTTAAAGTAGTACATACTTCATGCACTATCGTTTAATTATACTTTTAACTAAAAAGGAGTAATATTTTTATTGGAATTATATGGAATTGTATGGTATACCCATTTTTCCAAGTATTTCGCTCCCGTGAAATATTTTTATTAACAATTTCGAGTTAACGCTTTAGTATTTTTAGGTAAAATATGGCGAAATCTAGCGCCTAGTGTTGCCGTAAAAATATTTCATTAGTTGCATTGTTTAACGATAGGTTGTTTTTAATAATAAAAGCCAGATTTTTTACCGGTAATTTACGAAGAATATATTTAAAACAATATACTGATTTAAAATTGCCCTGTCTAATTAATGATATTAGCTTACCGTTTTCTTATTTAGAATATTTCATAGATATAAATTTAAAGGCTTTCAATAGTTGAAAATTTATAATTTGGTTAACGCAAAGAGCACGTTTCTTTTCTTTTCAAAACGATTCGATAAATTTATATTGAAGATATCCTATGTATTTTCTGATCTGAAAAACACAACTAAAATTCGAATTTAGTAATAAAAGTCGGTACTTCATTTTCGATATTGAAATGGTTTCAATGAATAAATTTTTTTATTATTAGGTATCCACGTGATGTGAAAGAACGTGTATTGACGATTCTTAGTGGTTGTAAAGGATCAAGTCTGGGATCGTATTCGGAATCTGCTGGAATCGAAATAATTAGAAAACACGCAGCCAAGTACATCGAGGATCGTGACAGTGGAATTCCTAGTAATTACAATAATATTATTTTATCGAACGGAGCGTCCGACGGTATCAAGGTTTGTATTTCATACAAAATTTAATTCTGTACTGATTATTATCTGTATTATAAAGTTAATGTATACATTATAATAATTCTTCAAATGGCGAATTAATGAAGTTGGAAATATTTAATTATTTTACAAATTTCAATATCATTGAATTATTATAATTTATGTTACTACAAGTTATGTAGTTATAAAGACTTGCTTTTTTTTAGTTTTCTATATAAATAATATTATAATTTTTATTCATACTTTAAGAATAATACAATAGTACAGGGTATTTAAAATTTTATTCGTTAATAATGTTGAATTGTTATCTAATTCGTTAATGTTAATTCTTTCATTTTATAACCTTCCCAGTTTTCGTTTCATAAATACATGAATTTTTACGCAGATTATCTTTATCCGTGGGCAAAACATTTGTTACATTTTGATTTTTGGTAATTAGATAATATTTTTTGTTGATAATTAATGCTCAAAGATATATCAGAAATACATGCGTGTCAACAATGAGTTTTAAAACCGTGTTTCATTCTTTTTTGTTTTTTTTTCATCACTTTTTTGGTTAATTGTATACATAAGTATTGAGTATAGCAATTACACTTAATTTGTTTACAATAATTTGATGATAATAATTACTAAATAAGTGCTAATTTACATGTAAACGTCTTTAAATAAATATGATATCAAAATGAAAAAGAACTTTATAAAAAAAACTAAAACGCATAAAGCTATTTAATTATTTAATCGGTACTATAATGATTTTGCAGTCAACATATACAAAAGTACGATATTGTAGATGCATTACCTATAATGAACTACGAACATTATTAACTCAGTGGACTCAGTACGATTCGTATATAAAAATATATCAATTAAGGGCATTTGGAATATCAAATAACCTCTATTTCCATTCTATTATACTGTAAAAAATTAGTTTTATCTATATTGACAGAACTGTTTCATTAATAAGTAGGATAATATATCATCGTTATTTATTCAAATAGTTTGTAAATATAATGGTAAGAAAACTTTTAACTAATCGACATTTGAACCGGTCTACAACATAATTTCATTTATGAACGTACATCGATTATTTTTCTTACCTTTCATTGCACAAACCAATTCAATCGATAATTTTTAATTTTTAATTTAATTTGATTTATACAATGAACGCATTTATATCGAAAAATATCCATTTATTCTCAACAGTCTGACAATAAATTAACTGAGACGAATTTATCGTATCGTTCTAGTCATTCTTGAAGCTTTTCAACGAGAAGATCAATGGCAAGCCTTCGGGTGTGCTCATACCCATCCCCCAGTATCCCCTTTACTCGGCTACCCTTGCTGAATTCGGGCTCGCCCAGTGCGGATACTTCTTAAACGAGGACAACAATTGGGGCCTCGATATCTCCGAGCTCGAGCGTGCCCTTAATGCTTCCAGAGCTAACAGCAATCCTCGCGTACTTGTTGTGATCAATCCGGGTAACCCGACCGGGCAGGTTCTTACCCGCGAGAATATTGAGAATATTATCAAGTTTGCCTACAAGAACAGGCTGTTCCTACTGGCCGACGAGGTCTACCAGGATAACATATATCACAAAGACTGCTGCTTCTATGCCTTTAAGAAGGTTATGTTCGAGATGGGCGAACCCTACTCCAAGATGGAGCTCGCTTCTTTTATGTCCATTTCCAAAGGTTAGATAATCTAAATGATTTTTCATTATTACTACACATACATTTCTGTTTTACATAATTTGTATTATAATTTGCAAAAGTATGTAATATTTATGACAATTAGTTACTAAATTTTACAAATGTATTTTATAGTTAATTACTAAAATTTATAAAGAAAATAAAACCTAATAAACAATAAATTCCAAGGCCATTCGAATAATCCTGCCATTAATTTATTTATATATTTTATCTGTATTCCGTGTAAGATTGCATAAGTTTGTAAGTGCTAAATTTCATACCATCCTTCATAGTTTACATTAATAAATTATAAGTTTTAACAAATTTTCAAATAAAGAAACTCGTGCTTTAATTATTTTAAGAAGATTTGTATAAAAAGTATATTCGTTTCTGTTATAGGCTACATGGGCGAATGTGGCCTTCGTGGTGGCTACGCCGAGATTGTGAACATGGATCCAAAGGTCACGGCTATCTTGATGAAGTCAATCTCAGCGACTCTTTGTCCTACGGTAGTTGGCCAGGCTGCCATGGACGTAGTGGTGAACCCCCCGAGACCTGGAGAACCCTCTTACGAGCAATTTATTAAGGAAAAGGAAGACACTCTTAGCTCACTTGCCGATAGGTCGCGTTTCGTCGTCGACACCCTCAACAGCATTCCTGGATTTCACGTAAGTCATTATTTTCCGTTTTCTTCGCACCTTTTTCCGAGATATTCGATGCATTATATAACTGCTAATGTAATTTTATTGAATACAAATGAGTTATTAAAATAGTATTTATAATAAATATTAAATACTATCTTTATGGAAATAATAACGACAAACTATCACTAACATTTTTGTTATCTAATTACTTTACACTGTATATTATTCAAATTATAAAATTAATATTATTAGATGAAGCCTTTAATTGTTCATTAATTGCATTGAGTAAATTAACAAAAAAATAAATCAAGGGTGAAGAAAGTAATGTTTGATAAAATTGTATTCACACTGTTATAAATTGTTACAATATTAAATTGTTATTATAAATTGTTATAATATTACGAGCGTAGAAACTATGGTTTTACAAATACCAATACGTTTGATTAGATTGAATGATTAATCATTTTTGAGCTTCAAAATTTAGATAATTATAAACTTAATTACTTATCACGTCACGTTATTTTCATTACTGACTTGTCACGGATTGTATTTATCTTAAGTACATATTTGTTAGAAAATTAATGATAATATGTAGTTTCACCTAATGCTGTGACATTAAAAATTACACATAGATGAACTTTACAGTATTACTTATACTAACACGTACGCAATTGTTAATATTTTTATTTATAATATTCGTAAAAAAATGCAAGAAAAGTAATAGCAAATAATAAAATCTTTATAATATAAATATAATAAGTGTTTGTGTGTGTATAAATTCACTAAATAGAAATTGTTTAAATATAGATCTAAACTTTGATTATATATAGGCGAATCCAGCGATGGGTGCCATGTACAGCTTTCCACGACTCGACCTTCCGGAAAAGGCTATACAAGCAGCGAAGGCTGTCGGCCAAGCACCGGATGTTTTCTACGCGTTTAAACTTTTGGAGGCAACCGGCATCTGTGTGATCCCAGGCTCAGGCTTCGGCCAAAAGCCCGGCACGTTTCACTTTAGAACAACCATATTACCCCAGAAAGAAAAAATCAAGTCGATGCTGAGTAGTCTAAAGGAATTTCATCTTAAGTTCCTTAAGGAGTTCAGCTAAACTAAATGGCGGTGAATTATTTTATTTTTAGTGCATAAAATGAAAGTATAAAAGAATGTAAAAATGATCGAATGAAAAACTAATAACTATTCTTTATCTTATTCGATCGGGTGCATCTTTCGCAATCGTAGTATGTACACGGGACTATTTATATTGCATGCGTGTAGGAAACACGATTGTTAACTACTATTGAATTTTCGTACACGGCTTTTTGTAGATCGCTAATTTTCCTTATTTATAATTGTTAATTTTTAATAGATTTGTAAATAAATTATGAATTTGTCTGTAATTAAATTGTTAATGTTTTTCATGTATGTAGACTCATCTGAACAATAAGAAATAAAATTTTTCAACAAAATATGAGACGTATGTAATTATTTATGAAGATTTTTTGTAAACATTTTTCTTTAATAAATATATATACCACCATTTATTCGATTGAATTTCAATAAAAGGCCTATTATAAAACAGTTTAATTACGATTTCAAATGAGAGATTTTGTTAAGTTTATAAATATTAATACAAATGTTCCGTACAATTATGAATTAATAAAATACCAAATTTTCGATAAAAATATAAATCAGTAATTAGGAAATCTTTGATAAAAATACGAATCAATAATAATCCGAATAATGATAAAAATATGTATCACTTCTCATATACATAGCAAAAGATAAAATTTTGTATATATATATCTTTGTTATACCAAAAATTCAAGATCAATGACCTTTTAACTGTTAAAATTTACCTCATTTTTAAATCATATTTTGGATACTTTATTTAAACGATCATTTCATTAAATCGAATTCGACAATAATTGTAAATAGAGAATGGTTCTTTAAAGAAACATTTCGATTCGCTGATAAATGTATTTACGATATCAAGTAGAGCAAAGTAGTTACGATGTGGCCAAGTACTTGGCTAACAGTTAAACATAATAATAAATTCGCAACACTATTGCGTTTAGTAATAAAAGTAAGCTTGGAATCGATTAAACATGTGAAGTTAATCGTCTTCGGCTTAATTTCAAGTCGATTATGATGTAATATATAATTGTTAATCTCTCTGTAATAAATTACATATTTTTATGAATATAAATTTGTAATTTTTAAATCATAAATCATAAAAATTAATAAATATAAAATTTTTATAAATGGTGAATATTAAAGATATTTTAAATAAAATTTTAACTCTGGATATTATATGTATAGATATTCTGTTTACTAAGAAGAAATATATATTTCTTGAATATTAGAGAACGAATATCGATAATTAATTGAGAAAGAAGTTATTTATATTACAATTAAATATATATAATATTTTGTTAAAAATTTATATATGAGCATTATTATTAATAAGCAGTCATTAAAAAGAATTTAACTTTGTAAGATAAATTTGATATAGATAATGCGAATGGAAAGCCATGCATATATCTTAATTTATATAAAATATTGCTTTTTATGTATGAAAAATATAAATGATGACTAGAATCAGAATTTCTATTACATTCCAAAACTAAATTTACAGTAATACTTTGTGTAAGTGGATCATATTTCAAATGTTTTATTTTAACATTACTTCATGATTGAACATTTGAATTCATACTAGTAAATAGTTTTTGTTTATATAGTAATATTTTATAACATATCAAGTGCTTAGTTGCAGAAATTGACTGGATGATAAATGTACATACTTTAAACATCGAAAACCTACATTCAACGTACATAAAATTATGGAACATAGAATTCATATTGGAATGGATGTTGATGAAATGAAATCGCCTTTATTAAAAAAACCCAATTCAAATTAATATCATATAGAGTATAAAGAATTGTATATATATATTAATTTATAAATTTTGTTTTTACAAGGAATTTCAATTTTCATTAAAAGATTCATATAATTCTTAAATAAAGTTTTAAATATTTATATATGAAGTTATGAATTATCTTTGTAAAAAAAATTATTAATAATAAATAATTGATAATAAAAATAAAATACAAATGATTAATACAATGATTTCGGAGACGCCTTCATATTTAACGATAGACTAATGCAAATTAAAGGATATTTATGTGAACGTCATTCTAATATTTGAAAATAGCATTGGATATACTGTAAGCATTGCCAGATTTAGATTTTAACGATCGCTAACGCTTATTATGCAAATAATTCAAGTTATAAATCACGTTATGTTTAAGAATTGCATTGATTAATGCAGAAAAGTGAACTCGTTGCTTGTCAGTACTAGTTTCGTCTTACTTAAAAAGGAACTCATAAACAATGATTTAAAGTTGCTGCAAAACAAAAAGTTGACGAGTAAGTTGAAATGTCATTTCTTTAAATATTTTCTGTATTTTCTGTGATGACATATTTATGCTATTAATATATTTTATAGAAAATGTTACAAAATCATACTTTGAATAATAGTTGCGTATCTATCATTTTCAATAAATATATAAATTTGAAAGAAAGTATTTTAGTCCTTAATATTATTAGAGAGAGAATTTCTTTACCTTCTCTGAAACTAATTAAAGTATTTTTCTTACAGAAATTACATGCCTGAATTTATAATTTAGAACATTGAGGAAGAAGTATATTAATCGTAACGGGACTAATAGGATCAGATTAAATAATGGCAAGGCTGTAACAAAGTTTTTGTCACTATTTTAATTTCCTTTATTGATGTTCGTTCATTGTGTAATTATTGCCAACGTAAATGAAATGCACAGTATAATAACATACATCCTAAAAGTTCTTAACATTTGTATTACTGTTTTTTTTCTTAAAGCGAATACTAAAGGAAATAAGTAATAACTAAATTGAAACCTCACTCGAGAGATTCAATGAAGTGCATCGTACCTTCATTTCCCAGTTGCAATCGTCAAATCTCCCGTACATCGATGTGTTCAGGTATTTCCTTTTTTCTTTTCTTTTTCTTTTAATTTTTTCAAGTCCACATCATAAATCGTCGGATAGCCGCTCAATTTCCTCGACAAAGAAATGCATATCGGCCTCGGTAAGTCCCGAGTTTTGTAGCACCAGCCGGAAGAAGTTGGGCTGTCCTCGAAGTGGCTGGTAAGTGATGAGCATCGAGCCCTTCTTTACCATTCGACTTTTGATGATTGGTGCCATGTTGTGCAGTGCTTTCGACAGCTCTTCATCATTGAGATGTCTTTTCGAAGGTGGCACGTACCTGTACAGACAGATAATTATAGATCATAAATGATGTATTGGCATTCTTTGTAGATAATGCGTGCGGATAGAAAGTAGGTTGCCTACATTCGCTTTTATTACTCAACTGAAATTCTTTATTTTAATCATTTATTTTAACAACAATGTTTAAGATATTTTCTGATAAATTCCATGCAATTTATGATCAAACGAAGGAATTTATGCCAGAACGATTTTTATCATATTGTGCTTTATTAAATTAAAATTCCATAGAATCCAATTTACTTCTTCTTAAGATATGAAAATACATTAAAAAACAACCATATGCCAGTCTCGCGTTTAAATTTCAAAGCATAGAGATATAGGATTAAACTAATAATTGTCCAACTTGAACTTATCTTAGATCGCGATTACAAAATCAAATATATATTGTCAATCATTTAAAAGTTAAATCATTTAAAAACTATTCAAATTAGCATTTAATAAAAATTTATTAAAATACATTATAATTGCACATATTTTTAATATGTTTATAAAATTATTGACAATTCAGAAATTTAAGCTAAATAAATTCTTTATTTTGTTTTTCTGATTTTTCATTTTATTTATAAGCCAGTATTGAATAAGATAATTCTTCTATAAAATACAAATATACAAATTTTGTTACACAAATATAATAGATGATGCATACATCAAATTATAAACACACTACATGTTTATTAACAAGTGAGTATATACAAAATTTTCTCTTATAATGGTATAATGGATAAACCAAGAATAAAATAATAATTTTTACATCTTATGCACAAATTATCACACGATAGTTAATCTTATTAACATTAATATTCTATTAAAAAATTAAAAGCTTTTTGCGTAAATTAATTTTATTTATTACTACACAAGCTATTATTATGTGTATAAAATTTTAGATTAAATTATCAGATAATTTTGTCTATGTAAGTGTTAATACTCGAGTGTTGAAATAATTAGGGGGGACGCTCAATTGTTCGTTAATTTATCGATGATGTCGATGTAAATAAAAAGCCCGTTAAGACAATCATCTAATTTAACCAACAGTAGTTTTATTTTATTATTATTATTTTTCTCTTTTAATATACTCGCCGCTAAATTCAAACCTAAGCTATAGTCTAACCTGAAGCAGACGTTGGTGCATTCGGGCTCGAGGAGGAGCTTCCACCCGAGCCTGTGTCTGATGAGGCCGACGAAGTACTTCGACAGTTCGAAGAGTTTGTCCACGTGCCTCTCGAGACCTTCGGTGCCCTTGGCCTTCCACATCAGCCAGAACTTCAAGACGTCCGCTCGTCTGCCGCACTGCACGTGCTTGTCCCCGGAGTCGTAGCTCGTGTCGTAAAATTTGTCCTTCTGGAAGAGGTATGTCGCCTGCGAGCCGTGTGCCGACTGCAGCAGCCCTTTGTGTCTGCAGAAGTCAGTTTTCGTATGGCACTTTTATTAATATTTGGCTGCATAAGGCCTTAACGTCGAAAAGCTTACACGATTTTGCTTCGAGCGATGAGCGTTTATTCGATGACTCTGAGTTTGGCGCGCAGTGATGTGCCAATAAAGTGAAGCCTCTTCCAAACCACTCTCATTCAATCTCAGATTACGGAACTTTGGATTTAGAAATCCATTTTTATTCATAGCTGGGGCAACATTTCATAGGCATTTCGATGTAAAAATTAACCGATACTCATTCAATATAATTAACAAGCATTTATTTCAATTATTTGAGATTATATAATAAACCTCGACTTAACACTTGATATGTACATATACCAGCTTTTCAATCAAGTTAACAAGAAAGAAAATAAGAAAAAATTCAAATTAGAAAACGAACGTAGGCGTAATATTGTTAAATTAATTGCTTCTTTATTGCATAACTAAATGCAAGAAATTTGAAATTGTTTCGATTATTAGTTGTCAAGTGCAATGAAAAATGAGGGCAATTTGTAGCGACGAAGAGTTTGATGCAAAGGCGACTCTTAAAAAATTTGATTACTAACAAAAGCGCAACATAAGTAACTCTTAATATATAATTGAAGGTAATAGAAGTTTGGCGTGCAAAAGTTAAAAGACTGGTGCTCAACCAATTCTTAGAGAAGCGAGACAAGTTTGAGCAGACGGAGTAATTGCAGCGTGATAAATGATTGAAGTAGGCTCAATCACTGACCTCGTGAGCAGAGTCGAGCATTGCTGCGGCGCGGCGAGTAGCTTGTGAGGATTCCAGGTGACGCTGTCGGCGAGCTCGACGCCGTCGAGAAGCGGCCGCTGCTTCCGAGACAGAAGGGCGCCACCACCCCAGGCCGCGTCCACGTGAAGCCATATGCCGCGACGGCGGCAGAGAGCTGCGAGTTCGCGCACTGGGTCGAAGGCGCCGAGAACGGTCGTGCCCGCGGTCGCAGACACCATCAGAGGAAACGCGCCCTCCGCCTCCACCTCGGACAGGGCGCGTTCCAGCTCCTCCACCCGCATCTTCCCGCGCTCGTCCACTTCCACGGCTCGTACATTCTCTGTAGTTTTGCCCATCATGAGTAATGACAGGCATTGATGCAGCCCCTTTCGCCATTATCTCCAAGGGCACTTAACTTTGGGGTCTTTCGAAAACTTAGTTCACGCATTATTGCTTGCCAGAAGTGATTTTACGGGCTTCGATACTCTGCACTTTGGGCACAGTATATGAGGAGGGGAAGGACAACGTTTTGCCAATGCGTTTTCAGAATTATCACGAGAGAGCAGTCGTAGATTCAAACGAATTTTACGAGATAAGCAAAGGTTGGTTGGATGGTAAGCATAAGTGGCACGCGGTCGGCGTTAAAGAAACTAGTGGTAAATGACGGAGCTATTAATTTTTCGTCGCGATAAAATTACGATAAGAACAAACATCAATGAATTGTACCGCTGCCTATGCCGAGGAAGGCCGCGAGCTTCTTCACGGAGTAATGGGCGTCCTCGGAGGTGAAGATGACGAGCTTCGGCACGGAAGCCAGGCCCTTCTCCTTGATGGCGGGAAACATCCGATGTCGTGCCAAATTGATAGCGTAGCCGTTGGCCATTGAGCCGCCCGGACAAAAGATCCCGTCCCCGTCGCCGTCCTGGATATTAGGGAACTTGGCTTAGTTTATGGTAAATTATAGGACAGTAAGGCCGCGCTATTTATTGTTTAGCAGCTGATTATTCTATTGACCAGTCAATGGAAATTAGTCCTTTTTAATCGAAACTAATACTCGATTATAATTGTAAAATTTTTACCTTGAAAAAATGATATTTAAGAGACTTGCATTTACAAATGATTATTAATAATAATTCTGACATTTTATTAAATATTTATGAGTGTGTTAAATTTTGTATTTTACTTTGAGACATCAAGAAAAATAATTAATAATTTTCTATAAGGTAGTTATTTTTTTTTTGTTTTTGTTTGTATTATGGACATCGAGCATCGTTTAACACAATACGAAATATTTCACTTTTCGTCCGTGTTAATACTATTTAGGAACTTCGCACATTTGCCCTCAAATAAAATAAATTAATTCCATTGAAATTACATTCCAATATAGGAAGGATTTGTTTACTTTTGGTTCTTGTTTAAATGTCGTTTTTCCGTTTCAATTTATTTCAACTGCAATATGTTATCGGCAAATTCTGGAATATGTAATTATTTTAATTATTATCAAACGAAGTGAAAGCAAAGCATTTGCACATAGACACATACTTCAAAATCTTTACGGTCGTTAAATATTGGATCAAGATTAGTAATAGCCAAATTATTATATTATCATTGCGCTCGTCCGCCCGCCCACCCCCACCCTCATGTCAAAACATATAAATAGAAAAGCGACGTTTAACAATAAGTGATTGTTCGAAGCATGGTCAAACTAATTGAAGTTCTATTTTTACTTAATTTTAATACAAAACGAGATAGTGAATAAATATGACGCTACCTCCAGTGCATGCAATAGCGGAATCCGGCGATGCAGAAAAATTCAGTCAAGTAATTAGCGCGATTATATCGATGGTTAATATTAGTCCACGATCCGTCCAAGTAAGTCAAAGGAACCAAAATCGATTTTAAAGCGTAATTAGGTCGTCGTCGGATGCTCGTTGTCATTAACCGCGTTACCTGCCAGCCTAGAATCAGACGCATATCCCGCAGCACGGCCTCCTCCATGAGGGAGAATACTGGCGAAACCTCGTAGGTGTAGACCGAGGGATTGAGGGCGTCGGTGAGCCACTGGCCGACGAGACCGTAGGGATCGACGCTCGAGTACAGCTGGTTGACGAAGTGCGGATGTCCGGTCTTGACGCTGTAGCGTATGACCGCGGCCACGTGCCGCAGCAGGTCCTCGTGGCACTCGCCGGAGCTGCGAGCCGGGAAGTCGATGATGGATGGGAGCGCTTTGGGCTCGACCCACTCCACCACGTGACTCTTCCGTGAGGTGCCCTGGAGACGCGGCTTTCCTCATTATTATGGCGGCTGAGCGGCCACAGGGAGTGACGAGTGGCTCTCGGCCGAATCGATTGGTCGTGCGCTTACAACTTTGCTCGCTGAGCTTTCGGCCCAGTGCTTCTATCTGCCTTCGGCGGCCTCTCGGGCCCTCATATCGAGCGCCGCTCGGTGGATTTATGGGTGTTGTTGCGAGTTGAATTTTTTATTGATCAATCCGATACTTGTGCCGATTGGAATGGCCAGTGGACCAATCGGCACGGACAAAGGCTCGGACCTATGGCTAAGTGCCGCAATACGATTGTCTCGCAATGCTGCTCATTGTATAAACGATTTTCAACATTCTAACTCGTCTTTATAGACTTCTAAGTCACTCGTTTATTAATGAGTATTATGTGTTTAAATTTTATCAATTTTCGTAGTGATTAAGAACGTATAGCCAATGCGATAGTCAATCCGATTTATTCAAAGACATGTTTCGAGGGCCGTCCGTCAATGCGGCTCATGGCTAATTTTATAGTTTCATCTTGTGTGCTACTTTAATTGATTTAGATTATCGAAGTAAATGTAACTATCAAGATAATGCAAATTTAATATCAAGGGAAATTGAAATTTTCTCAAATTTGAATTATTAATGTACGTAAGTGTATATTAAATGGCTTGTCTCCGTATGTAGATGAATTATCGTCTAAGAGTAATATGTGGTCTTACTATTCAGGTGAAATTCTTTATATTTTTTCTTATTTTACTTTGATCTTTTTTTTTCTTTTTTAAAAATATTTATTAAAATGTATTTCAACTATAATGATGGGGAAATCAATAATTAATGTAATTTTCATTGTTAATTTTAAATTATTCAATGCATGAATAGTTTTAGATGAAATTGTATGTTCGCATGTCAGGTGGATTTTTAAATTTCATAGGAATATAAAAAAATTGCTTTTGCCTCGCTACTATAATTTGCTGCATTTAAATAAAATATATTTACGACGAATACATTTTTATAGTTAATATACAAGATTAATCTAACGGTGTTTCTTTAGATTGATTTACATGCAATTCTAACATAATATAGAGTAATATCAAGGTTTCTTTTTAATTGACTCGTTCACATTTCAAATTAAGTAAAAAATCTACACTATTTTAATTTAATTTTTTTTTTAATTTCAAAAGATTCTTTTATGTGGAACTTTGTGAAAAATTCAGATTATTCATAAAAATTCCTTCGTATGTTTGAGATGTTATGATTATATAATTGCATTGAAAAACACTTTTAAAACATTGCTGTATACGATTTTCGACACATTAACAAAATATCATAGGAAGCGAACTTTTCTGCTTCAATAAATCCTCAGTACTGCATATTGAGTTGCACTAAAATTCTCAACACTTATATCTTAATAAATAATAAAAGCAAACCTATTGATATTTCATATTTATACTTTCATATTTGATTCCAAGATAATTTAGATTGCCAATAGTTGTTTAAATTTTGCAATAAAAAAATCTTTGATCTTCTATTAGTCACGCGAAATGTATTGTTGTATATATACTTAAAAAAAAAAGAATTATATAGATTTGAATTTAATGCCAATGAATGAGTGATCGGCTATTATCCAACGGCAGGTTCGAAATGCATTTGTATACCATATTACGTGGCATATAATATGCAGTGCAGCTAAAGTTTGCGAAACTTTGCAAATTAAATCATAAATATGCAATAATCACAGAGGTAGCGGTGTAAAGTGAAGGCTCAGAAGATTGGGCTAAGCGACGCATAAAAGTCCCAGTGCTGCAACGAAGCAAACGCCATTAACGTGTGTTTTCATTATCACTGCAACTGAATTATTTCGTAAGCCGCTCAAAGATCTAAGCGCAAACGGACACAATGGAAAAGCTAATAAGCTCGTCCGGGAATGTCCGGAGCCCTTTCAAAAGGCTTCTGAAAAGAGTCTCTTCCCTCTCCATGGAACGGAGGCGAGAGGGAACTCGGGACATATTTATTGAACGTTAAACAATCATGTGGTAGTCAAGTGCACGCCTTATGGCCACGTGCACGTGCGTCTCTCCGCATTTGCGTCTACCAATTAGTATATTGCATATACACCTAACTTTCCGGCTCACTACGTTTTCATTCATGTACTTGCTTTTGCAGTGCTCGCCGAATAATTAGTCATTGCCCTTTTTGCTGCTTTCCCCCGTTGCGACTAATATCCCGGACTTTTTACTTTCATTTCAGTGCGCGGATTGCGTGGCGAGGGCGGGTGTCGGTACGAAAAGGGACAAGCAGAGGCGTCGGAGAGAACAAATGGCTCTTTGCTAAAATGCTGCATTCGTAATGATTTTGAACGAGGGGCTATGAAGTAGTTTTGTTTTTTATCCCCTATTATTCCCTCGTGCACAGTTATTAAGACGGCCATTTAACTGTAGAAGGCGCCGATTTCTCATTGTGTTGCAAGCGCTTAACCGCGGCCTCCTTCAATAAAAATTAATTTCTTTCGAACGCCAACATTATTCAGAGAAGAATAAGAAAGGGAAAAAACGAAGTGACTGTCAAGCAAGAGGTCGAGCGAATCTCTTTAATAATGCATTAGCGTATGCCTGAGAAGAAGTGAAAAAACGTGGCCTCGTTATGCCTTTTCAAGTGGCTTATTATCCAATGGATGGAGCTCCTTCTCAATGAATAACGAAACCATCGACCCTCGCGGTATTAAGGACGCAGTCCGTTAAGTTTCGCAAGGGAGACTCACCTCGAACACGGCCTCTCTTAGGATGATCTCTAGGGCGTCGCGAATGAACTTTTCATGTTTGACTCTGTCTGGGAGACTCTGGAAGTCCGTTTGACCCGCATCGATCTGCCCGAAATCCTCATCGCTTTCTACTACGGCTTCCTCATGTTGCTCGTAACTGAGGGGTGAAAAAGACTTAAGCATCTCTCCTGGATCTACAGTTCTTGTCCGCTGCTGCTGCTGATCAGTCTCAGGCATCTTCAGCTTCTGGGGGACTTGGAGGTTACTTGTCGTCTGACTCGCTCTCGACGAAGCTCTGCGCGTTCGAGTGCAGCCACGGCTTCCTTTATACGGGTAATCCCACCGCGAAAGTGCAAGGACGCGACAATATCGTAGCACGTAGCTGCATATTACCAAGCGTTTCCTGCTAACGGAAAAACGAGAGCGTACAAGTACCAACTGTTCTCGCTAATTGTTTCCCTTTACTCCCTCGCTCCCCGCCCCTTTGTCCGGCACTTTTCATAAAACGCAATTTGATCTCAATGATGTCTTTCTGAGTTTGTGGTGTTCCATAATCTAATTATTTACTTGATTCTGTCGAAGCGGTAGGGATTTTTTTATTTATGCTCTTGTTGCCGTTTGCTTCCATACTACTTGAAATATGCTTGATCTATATTAATACGCCCATAGTAATAAATAAAATAATAAAAGGTAGCATTTTTTGGTATATCTCTTTTAATTTTTATTTGGCACATAATACAAATTTGTTCAAAAGCACAAGTAACAACAGTCAATTTGTATAAAACCTTTCTGAAACATTATTTCATAAGCTTTTCATCACTAAAAAGTAAATTTCAATCTGGATTTAATCGCCATTAAGTGCTTTTCCTACGTATGTTTGGAAATTTTTTATTTTTCTAAAATGCATTTACAATATTAATTCATTTAAAAATATATGGTATTTACATATTATAATTTAGATTTTGAAATTTGTCAAATTTGTAAATGAAAAATTAGAAAATAAGATAATAAATAATTAGGCAATTGTGCTTAAAAAATTACTCAAATATTAATGATCTTATATAAAATATTCATTTCAAATTACATACACATAAATATTTTACTAATATATGAAGGAATAATTATAATTTAAAAAATCTTTTGGAATTACTTAATATTTTATATGCAGTATAAGATACAAGTGATTTTCATTTTTTTCGTAGTGTATTTTGTATATTAAATTATTTAAGTAGTTTTATAATCAATATGCTTTTGATCATAATTGGAAGCTAATAACTTTAATATTTATATGACACTGTAGTTACTTGGTAGACAAAAATTTCTCATAGGATAAGTTGGTCATATTATTAATCAATAGTTCATAAAATTTCTTTGTTCGAAAATTCTTATTATCTTAATTATTATCTTAATAATGAGCATTATAAATCGTATACATTCATAATATTATCATTCTTTAAATTTTCTGCCAAAATACGTAAGATTAATAAACTAAAAACTAATAAAATATAAGCATAGCTAATAATACATAAATTTGTGTTCACCTTGATAATCACTTAAGTATTTGAAGTATAATGATATTTATCTCACATTCTTTTTCATAATACTTAATTATATTTTTCGTTCTTTAGCTACTATGAATTATTACAAAATCTCTAAAGATTTATTGGTGTTTATTTGATTTTTTATTTTAAACTGAATTTTTTAGTAAACGTATATTTTTTATTATTTTTATCAATTAGATAATAAAAACTATCATTCATTTATGAATCACCTCTATAAAGTTTGACTAATTATTTAGATATAGGAGAGATCGATCATTTAATAATAAGGTAATATAATCGATAAATTTATGTCGTATAACACAGATCCTTTTATAAGATCTCTTTTGAACATAAATGTTAACTTTTCTAAATATATCATAAATAAATCATAATTGGATATATAAACTCATGGATAAAAGGCGTAGTAAAATATAAAAATAATTTTTTAAACTTTTATGAAAGCATTCAATCTTTTTTCATGACAAATTATACTTCTTATTATTTTTTTAATATAATTTTTTGCATTTCTATTAACTATCGATATGATTCACGAAATTTGTGATAATTTCCATTATCTAATAAATATTTTATTTAGATCAGAAAAAAATATATTTTTTTGTTATAAATTTGAATTGATACCTATCAAATATAATATTAAGTTTTCATATTCTATAAAAATAAAAAATACTAATTTGGAATTCAAGCTTATATTTTTTATGAAATTTGACTTTATGACTATAATTTGGAATATCGATTAAATCGATATATTTTTACAATTAAAATTAATTAATAAAAATACTTACGTATAATATTTTAAACATATTTTTTCAGTCTTTATTATAGGATCTAAAAATTCTAAGATAGTAACTCAATAATTATTCTTGTACATTAATATTAATTATTATTTCATAATTTTCCATTAATAATTGCATCTTACACATCGATGATTATAAGAATTGATATTGTAATCATAATAAGAACTTATGTGCATTATTCGATATCAGAAAATCTTGAGTGGAAAACTCAAACTTAAATTGGCTTATAAAAAATTATGTAGGTTAGTATCCTTTTATTCATAAGATTGGCAGAGATTATACTAAGAAATGAATTAACGTGTAAAATTTAATAGAAAAATGAAAGAATTGATGTTATATTAAAAAATTGATTTAATATGTGTTGAATAAGCTATGCTTATTTATTTAAGATATAATGTATATTTATAATAATAATTAATGCGTGATCAAATATTCTTGAAGAATATTTTACATTCAAGAAAACAATCTTAAATTTTTATGATCTATCTGACTTATGTTCGATATTATGATGATGTTAATATAAAATTATGACTTGAAAAATTACTTTTCAAAATATTTCACTTCGTATGGTATATTTAGTTTCTTCTAAAAATTTAAATCACTCTAATTCTCTAACTGAATAATATTATGATTATAAATTTGGATGAGGTCTTGCATAATTAATTCTTTGTAATTCACGATCTTTATATGATGTGTAAAAACGATATTATATAATGTTAATCATTAAAATTGAGAGTTATTGAATAAAATTACACCATTATGAAAAAACAGGATTTCCCTTTCAACAGTAAAATTATTTTATAGCTTATTTTTAAAAAAAGTTATATGAGTGTATTTATCTTGAAATGCATAATAGATTTAAAGTGATTGAGGAATGATATATTATTGCAATAGAAATATGTTTACTGTAAATTTTTGTTATTCTACGTTAACATATTACAATTATTAATATGAGGATGTGACTTTTCATATTAAACTTTCTTCGTAAATATTCATTTACATTAATTTAAATATTCAAGTTTATTACAAATTTTAATTTCGTAAATATATTAAATTTTATCTATGTATTACAACAAATTATATGAAACAGATACAAATAAATTTCATTAATCTTTCGAACGTCAGTTAGTTTATTGTTATTAATGAATAATATATAATTGATAAATAACTAATTAAACATACCTTGTGATATGACGACTTTGATATTAATTGTACAAGCAAATTCAGAATCTGTATTTATTATATATTTTATGAATTCATCGCATTAGTATATTGAATTTATTATATTAATATTGGTTATTTTTAAATTTCACATAAAGTCATTATGGTATATTTTAATTATATTAGTATAATTTATAATTATCTTGAATATCTAGATTAGTTACTCTGTCTTTATCGAAATAATGCACATATTCTCCCGGCCTTTTCAAATTTGTTCAAAGATTTCGTCCTTACATTTTTCATTTGACAACTATTCTTTTCTTATATATGTAATAATTTTGTTTTCTTTATTTTCTTTTTAATATTATTAAGAGTTATCGATAATATTTGATAATTAAATCATTGTAATGAATAAACCGTTAAAAATTTATACAAATCAATCTATACAATTATATTTGCAATTATCTAAACGATATTATTTAAATTTTCAAGATTAAAATATATTAAAATCGTCAAATTCTATTTAATATCGTATTTTTATTATAAAATTACGTCCTTCCGTTACTTATTGTTTCATTCTTTCATTCATTATCCTGTTTGTATTGCTTATTTCATTAATATTATTAGTTTTAATAGTATTTTCACATAATTTATTAATTTTTGTGTGTATATGTATAGATTAGAAATTTTTAAATACAGTTTATTTTCAATTTATAAATGATCAATAATAATTGTAAAAAATTGATCAATGTAAATTTTTAATCTTCATTGTAATAAAACTATTACTCTTATTTTTTCATCATGTAATCATTATGTTAACTATTGTAAGAATCTAAATTACCTAATATTGAATTACCATATAGCATTCCATTTATTAATTTTCATTATTTATCTTGTAGTGTACATTCATTAACTATTTTTCTAATACATTAAAATATATATGCTATAATAATATTAACAGTTAAATAATGAATTTCATAATAATTCTATTTTCTAGATTACATAAAAATTGCATGGAAAAAGTTTCTTCATTTTTATATGTTATAAAATATAAAATTGCTCATAAATTATAAATTGTAATAATCAGTATATTAACTTTTTTAGAAAATCATTTATTATGTTAGAGTTGATAGTACATTATGCTAGAATATCACGGAATTAAAATGATATTATAGATAGTTATTATAGAAAATTATTGAATTTATTCTTTTTACTTTTCATGCATAGCATATTTTATTTTTTAAGATTATTGTTTTAATTAATAAAGAAAGATTAAATTAAAATTTGAACATTTTACAAGCCAAAATATCAATTTAAATATAGTATAATAATTAAAACATTAGGAAAACATATTATATTTAATTATTAAATAATATTTATATATTATTTATTTTAGATAATTGTTTATTTTATAAAGTCTATATTTTATAAATAAAAGATAACATTTATGATAATGACTAAGTAATATAGACAGCTACGATAATAATCACTTGCATTGAAAGATCGATAGCTTTTTTTTATAATACAATTTGCTATTTAATATATATATATATATATATATATATATAATTAGAAGTGTAAAAAAAACGTACGGCTTATATTTTTATATATTTCAATAAAGCCCGTTATTTAAAATTAAAAAAATTTTACCATGAATCAAATTATTTTTCAATTTCACATGTCATTAATGTTTTTTTAATAATTAACATTATCGACAATAAAATTAAAATAAAGGAATAAATTCAAAGTATATATATTTCAAGATAAATTTTAAATGCATAAAATTTAAAAAGTCAACTATCCTTATATAAATTTCCAATTTAAACATATTATGTGTATAACTGAGAAGTATTACAATTTATATTATATAAGAATATTGTTTTCAAACATAACTAATTTTATTCTTTTTGATTACACTATTTCAAGATCGATTGAAATTAGCGTCTAAAATTGGGTATAACCAGTTATATGAACTTTCTGTATTCCAAGTTATGACTAAAAAGCTATTTCTTTTTATAGCATCTATGTCGTAAAGTCTATGGAAGTAATTCATTACAAGTATTGTCAATAAATTTATAAAATTTTTAATATTTTTATTTAAAATTAATTTTTTTTATTTTATTGTGTTATTTATTATATTTATATTATTTATAAATATTATTATAATAATAATAATATTAATATAATAAAATATAATAATAATTTACAAATATTATTTATAATATTTATATTATATATATAATTTTTTATATGCTACCTAACATGTTACAAAAATTTAACGTTCAAGAAATATTTGTACCAACGTATTTATAATTCAATAGAAAAGAGTGTTAGTTTTCAATAACTTAATTCTATTACAAACGATATTTTGACTTTCTGATTCTATATGATAAATTATAACAACGCAAATATAATGCCAATTAATTTTTGCATTATATATTTATCCGAATTATCAATTTATCATAATAAAAGAAAATAAATTGGATTAATTTCAATATTTTATAATGTATCGTAAAATCCATGACATATTTGTTTTATGCCATTGTTTTTATCGAAGATTATTTATTTATTCGCTACTGTCTGTAATATAATTTCGTTATATCATTTATTTTTACGATTTTTACTTTATTGGACAACTTATTTCAGCTACGTAGTTGTTTCCTTAGTCAAGGCAACATAAGTCTATATACTACCGCGTGTATATAATTCTATAAGCTTGTATTAACTATTACTATTTTATACTTTCACCGCTATTAATATTTTCCATGTATTATGGCGTAGTCGCACATTTATTCCGTTGATGTCAATTTACGTACGAACATTTATTATTCGTTTAATCGGGTCATCATTAATCTGTCGTTTGCAATTTGTTCGCACGTGTATCCCTGTAAATATTAACATGCCCATTAGCATTTATTTATAGTTAATCCATTGCTGATTACAATCCCTTTCTTATCACTTACTTACACATGTGTGTCAATAAAGTAATTGGTTTATCATGACATATATATTTAATCGACTTTCTAAGCTTTGCTGTAACATATGATTTTTATTCATTGTTTATTCATACAATTTTTTTCAGTATCAAACATACCATATCGTGTACTTGTATGCATAAATCACAACTTTAATTATAAATTTCTGTTTGTACTAAGCTTTTTATATTTTAAGTACAAGAAGCTGAACCGAATAGAAGTGAATATCCTTTACAATCGGAAGCATCATTTAACCACATTTATTGAAAAAAGCAATGCTACGGAAAGAGTTCGTTCATATCCGGTCCTTTGATTGTTGGTATTTCAGACATTGCCGTGAAACTATTGTGGCCTTGACAACAATTGGCTAATTGCCTATTGTGTATTTATTTCCTTCGTGTCCTTGTTGATTCTTTTATTTTAATCTTTTTTTCTTCTTCAGTAAGCTGTTAAGTGATTTTACCAAGAGGTTGGGCAATGATATTTTATCATTCTCATGCTTACTTTAAAATATTTTCTATTTAATATATAGATAAAATTTTTATTAATATAGCATTGCCTTTCATTTCGATTTTTAAAAACTAAATATTGGTAAATATCAACTTTCAGTTAATAAAATTTTAAAAAGATGAAAATTTGTAATTTCTAATAATATTTAATTCTTTAATAACGTTTTAATAATTGTTAGTTATTTATAAACAATAAAATACGTGTACCACAATTATTACATACATTATGAAATTGTTTATGAAAAAAAAAATATATATATAATTAAAGTTGTTGGGATCAATAGTATATTTATATAAATATTTTTACCGTTAATATTCAAATTTATAATAATCTAAGTAATGAAGGAAAGTAAAGATAAACAAAGGATATCTTTATAAGATTTTTAATATCTAATAATAAAAAATTTTTATTTTTGAAGTTTTAATAAGAAATATGAAACTTGAAGGATTATAAGAAATAATGATAAGAAATATAACTTACAATATTTAATGATATTAGCAAAATTAAATCAATTATACATGTAATGTATCTTAATTATTGATTATATAATCGTAATTAATTAATTATCTAATTATTTATTGATAAAGTGTCAAAAGTATTGTCAATGATTCTTACTATAAAACAAATACAAGCAGACATTTCTAGAATTCATTGGAACAAACTTTCAACAATGTAATTTTTATTATTATTTTTGAAGTATAGTTTTTATGTTATAAAAGAAGGAAAAGGTTTACCTTAATTTAATTAAGAAAATTTGTTTTTAGTCATTCACTATAAATAATAAATATCAATTTTTTTATAATTATATAAAAAAATCATTGATAAACTTTTACTTATTTTAATTTAAATAACTTTAAAAATTATTTTCGAGCTCTTATAAAAATGTATCGAATACTTTTTGTTTTAATGCACAAGTACTGAAATATCCAACAATATTTAATTAGATGAATAACTTTAAATATCTGTCAATTTGAAAAATATTATAATGTAGTTTGAAAACAATATAAATATATGCTGCTGTAAATCGAATAATTATTAAATTAGAACAAAAACTAATTAATATTTAAAAAAAATATGCTTTGGCAACAATAAGAAAAGTGCAAAAATAAGAAATGTAAGCGTATCAAGCCTTCGTAGAAATAATTATATAGAATTAGATAATAAAATCATTTATTATATTCTATTTATTTCCTGTTTTATTTTGAAATAAGATGAAACATTCATGTAATATTGGTGTATATATTATCAAAATAACATTTATGTATGCTCAACCATATGCACGTATCAATAAATAAAGTTTTTACGTAAATCCTCATGTTTTTTAACCTTGCAAAAAAATCATACATTTAAAATTAATAGCCAAACGAAATTGTAAATAAAAACAATTGTACAGAGATAAAAATTTGTGACTGCCTTATTACATAGTAATTGAGTAAGTATCATTGAAACAGTGGTAAAGTAACTTTCAAATAACCTACAGATTGGTAAGTAAGAAAAGTTTAACTGCTTGATATAATAAACAACAATATTACAGCATGTTTTTCTTTTTTTTTCTACAATATTTTCTTGCCGGTGTAGCATTTTTTGTATGGAAAGTTTTTCTCATAAATCGACTCATTCTTTCATTTGTTCATTTATTTAATGGAAAAAAGACCGTCTGCTATTATGCACGTTATTCTATTATAATAATTTATTATTATTATAGTTAAAATCGTTATTGTATTAAAGTACAATTTTTAATATCATCATTTTGATTGGATGTTTTGTAATATTGAGGTTGCACATTTAATCAAGCAAATATAATTTATTAATAAAAGTATATAGTTATATGGTTAAAAATTTACTATACTATAAATAGAATATCTTTTTTATATATTTTTAAAAATGTACATGTACAAAATTTTATTTCAAAATATAAATTATACAGCGAAAATCTTTATTAAACAATAAAATAATTTTATTATTATTGATTCTGTCACAATATCTTTAATTATATATCAATTAATTCTTACTAACTTTGAAAGCAAATGAAAATTAATTTTATTTATTTTACCATTATTCACTTACTGATTAATTTTGTTATTATTAATTTAAACGTAGTAAAGCTAATAATAAAATGTCTAAACAAAATTGAAAATTTTTTTATTGTCTTATAATTCATTTTCTAAAATTGAACATATTATATAAATATATCTTATATAAATTTTATGTTATACATGACATTTTTATAAAAGTGCATATAATATATTATGTATGTATACTGTAACTAAAAAAATTTAACATTATAAATAATAAAATTAAAAAGGTTTTTTATTGCTTTTTACAAATCAATTTAATTATTTCCTGTTTATAAATAAGAAAATTATATTCTTAAACGTATAAGGAATTGTTTAAAATACAATTAAATACAATTGTTTGCAATTTTTACACTTTACTTTTAAATAAATAAAATTTTTCTTATTTATATTGCTATTCGAATGTCAAACGAAAACAAATTATCGTGAAAAATGTCAAATTTTTAAATTCTTTTAAATAGTTTTGTTTTATATATGATACTAACTATTCTTTAGAGAATTATATAATTAAATAAATAACATAAATTTTAATATTTAAATTAAGCAAATGTCTAATGACCAGTTCTGTTTTTAACACAATTTACAATAGAATAAATTTTCATTTGAATTTGAAATGCCCAATGAATATTTATTTTTGTTTCTTAAATTTATAATGAGTATATAACGTAAAAATATACAAATTATCATTACTCATTAGATTTCATATACTCATAAAGTTTAATTAATTAATTTCATTACTAATAACTATAATTGATATTAATCAATAAAAACATACATAAATTTTTTTAGACAATTATACTTAATAATGCTATTCTTAAGAAAGTAAATACAAAATAATATAAATTTACAAGCTACATGCAACTTCTTAATCACTTACTTAACTAATTTGGATATAGTCATTTTCATATTCTCCAAAATGCTATTTAATAGAATGAAATATTTCCTAACTAAAACAAATTTTTTAAATACACTTGCCACCAATATTTTAATCTTCATTAGACTTTTTATAAATTATATTAAACACAAATTTTTTACATAAACACCTTTGCAAATATCGTAATTATTCGTTACTATCAACATTTTCTTCAAATATTGTTTCTAAAAAACGGTTTTATCAAAAATTAATTCTTAAATTATGTTATCCAAAATAGGCACCGCAATTAGAACAACGTCGATTTCTTAGAAATAAACAACAGAGGATTCCAAGTGGAAAAAATAATATTGCACATAAAATTCCTAAACAACTGTAGTCGTCTTCTAAAACTCCTACCTATAAATGGAAATATCTTGTTAGTATTGATTATGAAATATTTACCGATAATAAAATTAATTATAAAATTAGGGTATTATTTAGAAAATTTGTAAATAATAAGATCTTAATACTTACTCGACATGCTGGACAAGCTCCAACAAGGATAATTTCTGGAACAATAACTCTTGTCGTATGTATAGTACCATAGCTGTTTGGTTGATAAGTTGAAAATTGTGTCTCTGAGCTGGGATAATATCCAGGAGGAGGCTGCCATGATGCACTACCTAAGTATTTAAATACATAATCAATAGATTAAGCTAAAATTAGTACAACTGGAATAAAAACAATAAAAAAATTTTTAAAAAATAAGTAAAATTTGAATTTCCCTATGTAGCAAATTATTTCACGCCTACAAATCATTTTAAAAACTTTAAAATTTAATGAAATAATCTTTTATATTGTCCTGAAAACATATTGTTAAATCTAAAATAAAGTTAGGTGTAAATTAAACTTATAAATATTTTTAAATATTTACATATAACAAAAGTTCAAAAGTTCAATCTTCAAAGGAAATTATCAATTATTTTATTTTTGTGCTTATTGATTAAATACAGATAATAAATTATTAACTTTTAGTCGTATAGCTTTATATTTACTGTAATGTTAAATATATTAATATACATAAAATGAATGTTATGTTATTGGTAAATAATAATTTCAATAATATTATATGTTAGATATTAAATTACAGAATTTATGAATAATTAATGACAAAGAATAATTAATAATATTTTATTTTATATAATTTCAGCTTATACATTGAAGTTATATATTATTTTTTCACATACTTCATGTTTGATTAACAATTAAATGCATTAACTGTTTGTATAGGAATAATCGAATGATCATGGATTACATCAAAGATTGGCAAGTGAATACTCTAAAATTTATGTTTCATTGGAGATTAAAAAATATCAACACACTGACAATTAAAAACGATAAATGTGTGATTGTATTTTGTTAATACAACAATATGTAATTGCATTATTGGCATTTGATCATTATGATTTTGAAAATGTATTTTACGAATGTAGTAATTTTGCTCTAATCAGCTTAGTTTATATTTTAAAATCCTCAACAAGCGTAACTCAAACTATTCTATAATAAAGAATTAATAGTACAACATGAAGAATAATGCAGCAAGTATAATATTTTTCGTAATATCTGTAGTAGACTCAATCTAACCTCACTTTCATTGGAAACACTAACCTTGAGCAGCCGTTGACGATGGTTTATACGGCGGCGGTTTGTCCTCTTTTTGTCCGAGTAGCAAATTCTTATCCATGTTACTCAGAAATATGAGATCGTCAAATAGAATCGAAAAGCTGAGAATATTTTTACTCCCAACTGTGACGCACTTCGAGATTCCAGCGTACTTGATAATAACGTGCCTATGCCTTGAACAGCTGATCTGAGCCCGTTACATTACAGATATACACGGGGTTCATATTAAAGTTTACATTGGCTGTTCTCTTTCTCCATCTTATTGTTAAATCTATGAAATGTAATCGCGATTGTTTGACTATTATTTAGTTTATGGTAAGACCTGTGACTCATGAGCAGTCTTTTATGCTTTCTACAGTATCTTCGAGATTTAAAGAGATAGAGTTCTATTGCAGTTAACTCAGACTGTTCAATCTACATTATTTCTCTATTTTTACTTATATTTTTAACAAGATATCGTATATTAAGGACAATGAAAAGTAAAAAACAAACACGCTCTATTTCAATTTTAAATTATATTTGAAGAGCAAATTAATATACGTAGACATATTCTAGTTATATTCAATGACTATCTTACAATTTAATAGAAATATCATCTGCAGCTTATTACAAAGGAATAGAAAATTTATATTGTATTAAAAATATTAACATTGTGAAGGAGATAAGGAATAATGCTTATAAAGAGTATATGTCGAAGTCAGCGCCATCAAGCGGAATTCTGCTCATTACGTGATCTCATAATTAGATTTTCGTTTACTTTTAACTTTTACTAACTTAGCTCGTCCACCAATTTTTAAATAGTTTTTTCAGTACACGATTATAATTAATATGATACTAGAGTACTCTAATTCAGCATTCCAAATAATTGTTCATTAATTTACACTTAAATTCACATTGATTAAATCAAGTGACTTACTTGATTATTAGGTAAGAATTTTTTTTTACCAAAGTTTAATACACAGATATTAATTGTAACAAATGCAAAGTTTTCTCTAAAAATATTATTAACATTAAATTTATCAATTCTCTAAAATACTTAGATATAACAATTGTATATACAGAAAATAAAATGCCTATATATATCCAATGTAAATCAATTTTACGTTTTAAGTAAATGTCCGTATAAAATAGCAAATAATTTGAAATGATAAATGATATTACATACAAATTGATAATAATAAATTAACGCATTAAACTTTAATCAAAGTAAAAGTAATATATGTAGGTATTTAAAAAAAACAAATGATGAATGTGAAAAATAAAATGCAGTTATCAGTTCTGAAAATGTAAGTACTATGGTGTTAATTGGCATTATTGTATGAGCAATCATTAATATAATTTTATTTTAAAACCATTTTAGCATTGATTAGATATGAAAAATGTATGTGAAAAATATAAAATCGCATATGCAATTGAAATGTTATGTCTTCTTATTTATTGAAATTTAAGATTTTTTAAATACAATAATCTTTTATCAAATATATGCATATTTATTACGTTTTCTAAAACTTATTGTATTCAATAAATGTTTAAAAAATTGTATTGTTTTGCATCGTAAGTTTTTTATCAAACCTTTATCATTTCTTTCATATTGTTCAAATTATCTGAAAATAGTGATTTCTAGCAATCTCAAGTTTTAGTATTATGATTACTGCATGAATTACATAGTACAGATTTTTATTAAAATATCGCATTGAGAACTTGTGATATATATTTTATTAAATTTTTTTTGTATTCATTCACTTTGTTGTTTGTACATGCGTAATGCATATATTTACATAATCATAATTTTATATTAGAACCACGTTTCAATTTACAAATATCTTACAATATATTTTCTTTAACTTCATTAAAATTTTAATTATTAGCTTACAATAAAACAAATTTTACCATCAACATACTTTTCTAAATTATAGTATTATATAAATTTCAAAATTTTTTATAATCTAATCAACAAGTAAAATTAAATTAATTGAAATAATAATTTATATATTGTAATTTATAAAAAAACATTTATAAAATACAATATTATTTTCTAATATATATTAAGGATAATAAACATATAAAAAACGTTATACAAAATACGTACAAAAACTTTAAAAAATTAATAATACTAAAAAAATTATAGTATCAACGAATTCAAATTCTCGAAAATTTATTGAAGTTACATTTATATTATCTAATAATTATTTTTATTTCTTTAAATACATTAAGGATTTTATAATACTTCAAAATGAATATTAAAAATTAATACATTTAAGTATATTTAAAGCTTTGATCAAAATAAGAGCAATTCATTTGTTTGTAGTTCAGAATTAAATATTCTGTAAAATACAAAATATTGAAATTTTATATATATTTTCAATACAACATTATAATAAATAATAAATAATATATAAATATTTGCTTACCTTGTAATTTAAGGCTTCACTTTAAGTAACATCAATATGCCCAAATATTCTTTTTAAACTTGAATATACAATGTACATTTGCAAAGTTAAAAAATATATTTATTTAATTGTTACTATTAATAAATCAATTTTAGCAATTATATTTTACGTAAAATTTTTATAAATATTGCATTATTAATGATTTAGGTTTATAATTCGACTTATTTAATCTTCAAAAGCAAATAAAAATAATGCTTGGAACTTAAATTGATTAAATTTTTATTTTTCATTATAATATTACAGTAAAAGTTTATATTTTATTTAATTATAAGTTATTTTATTATTTTAATTTTAAAAAACATTTTAATTTTGACCCAAAAAGAAATATTTACATTTTATAATCTTTTTAAATTGTGATTGCAACATTTTTTTCGTTATTATCATATATATATATATATATATATATATATATATATATCCACAACAAGTTTAGTTATTTCAATCGTATGTATAGAATAATATGTTTTTTAATTATGTTTGTTTTAAAATGCGTTATTTAATTTATTAAAATTCTTATTTCAGAAAATGTAATTTATGTAATTAATGAAACTAATTTTTCTACAATACATCAAGTATTATATTTTACTTCTAGTATCCATGTAACTTTGAAGACGATTAAAGAATAAAAATAAACATTACGATCCTAATGAATTCATTCGTGTCGTGTATATACGTGTTGTGTATTTTTAATTTTTGCATTTTACGCGTTATGCTTTTGCTGGAATTGCAATCTAGAACAATCTTTACGCGACTTATAAACCAACAAATATTACAAATATTTTCTGCTTTTACCATTTTAACTTTTTTTATTAAATTTTGATGGCAATATAAATAAAGAGTTAATATATTATATAAGATAATATATTATTTATAATTAAAAAATAAATTATAGTTAGGGATAGATTGGTAGGTAATACAAATATATCAAAAACATTTATTTGCACATATAATGATTTTTATTACAATCTCTGTAACAATCAAACATGTAATTAATTATAATTATATAAAATATATATTTAATATAATTATTTAAATATTTATAAATATATTCTTTCAGCTTAAAATATTATCATCTTTTAAACTCACTTCTTCTTAAAGTTCGATTTGCTTTTTACATTTTTTTTTTGGTTTGATTTTTTTTTCTTAATTATAACTATTTAAAAATGTAACACAGTAATAGTACTTTATTGTAATTACTTAATTCAAATAATTTATTATATACTGGAGTATGAGATTGGCCACATTCGAATAACCTTTATTTACTATGTAAAAATATTTGTAAAATATATTTAGTAACTGTAAGCCACTATGCGATGCAATTCGAAATGAAATGTGGGATAGATTAAAAATTTATGCATACGCGCGCGCGCACACATACATACGCGCGCGCGACACACACACACACACACACACACAAAGAAACAAACAAACAAACAAATACACATTGCAGATTGAAGGTCAAGGTTAAGTCTTATAAGCAATTACTAGAACAGGTTTTCTAAAGAAATTTGTCTGCGCTATATATCACTTTAGTCGATTGTGGAAGTGGTGGTAAAAAAATGTATTTATTTGAAAATAACTTATCCGAAACATTACTGTTAAAAAACAAATTTCGAAAAATTAGTAGATCATTTAAAAATACTTCTAGAAAATAATAAATAATTTTGTTCATAAACAATTATTAATTACTTTTAATTTATATTATTAATTTATATGAAAGTAAAGGGATATCTTTTCGTACATATTATGGTAAAGAAAGCTTACAACTTTATAAGCAAATTTAAAAAGATTTAAAAATAATCATTTAAGCAGAAATAATTATGCTATAGGCTATAATCTGAATTATTATAAAAATAATATTATCTTGCGTTGTTAATATGTAAACATTTTTTCAGTAATTTCTTATTAAATACACAGAAAATTTTCTCAAAACAACTTTTAACAATTAATTATTAATTAATGACTAACTATTGATAATCGTTTCAAAATAAGTTTAAAAATTTTGTATTTGAATAGATATAGTTATTTTAGTAATTTCTTGAATATTATATAGTGAACAAATACTTAAATTATTACTAAAGAATGAAAATAGTAAGATGTAATAGAGTATAATCTAATAAAATCATAAATAAATAAATATTTGAATTATGGAATTTTAACCAATCATAATATTAATCATTCTATTGCCACGTATTACTTCTTTTCTAGCGCGAAACTTATTTCCGTTGCAGATTCCTCGTCAACCGCGGCCTTTTTTATCCCTGCTTGTTTGCATTTCATTATGTCTCGGTAGTGCATGGCATTTTTACTCATCATCGCCGTAATTAATTATGTCGTTAAGGTTTAGCTTCGTGTACACGCACTTATTAGTCGATCTTATATAAGACGCATTTCCCTTATGCCGAATTGGCGGAAAGGACGAATAATTGTAAATTCGCCCAAATGGAATCGTACACCTGGACGAAATAGCATCGGAGCCTCTCTTTCTCTCTCTCGCTGTCCGTCTTTCCCTTGACCTAGTTTTTGGCGAGTCGTTTGCCCCCGAGTCATCGTACTCATGATTCCAAATAACGACGTCACGAACGGAGATGCCGTCGGCTTTTCTTTTTCAGGAAATGTTTCGGCTTTCGGGAGATTTTCTCGAAACCACATTGAAAATATGAAATCGAAAACAAGTTAAGAATCCAATGAGTTGATATCTCATTATTATAAAGAGTGATGAAAAGCTTCGTTTTATTTTCGTACTTCATTCACTTGAACAAGTAGTTTTAAATTCTTCAAATCTGCCAAAGTGTTTCGAATTCTACTGCATATTATTTCCAATTAACAATTGATTATTTGATATGAATTTAAATTTAAAATACACATAACTTTATGTGAAAATATCTTATTAAAGTACAGCTTTCACATTTTTACGTAGCGTACTAGAATTTCTATCGTAATGTAATATTTTAGTAATACATTCGAAGACCAATCTAAAATATTTGTAAGTTTTGTTATTA